TGTGTGTGTGTGTGTGTGTGTGTGTGTGTGTGTGTGTGTGTGTGTGTACATGCTGAGGGTTGAATCTTTGCTTGTGCATTTGGCAGGGAAGTGATCTAACCACTGAGCTATATTTCTAGCCCTGATCTACTTGCTCATTTCTTCATCAATTTTCTTGTCCTTGGAGTCTGGATCCTCACTGTTCATGTCAGCCTTCCAAGAATTATCAAGCTTGATTGACATTCTTTACTTAACAAATTCTCAGTTGGGCTGGAGTGGGGGGAAGTCGTGTCCTTATTATCTGGCAAATGCTGAGCACATATCCATGACTCCATAACCTGCTTTTAGTTTTAACCTAATCACAGACAACTCCCCAACTCCCCAACCTTTCTCCATTTCTGCCATGGTCCTGGTCAGTTTTCAGGTGCCATGCCCTGCCTCAGAGGAACATTACCCAGACCAGACCTCACAGTCCCTGGAACTGATGCTGAGCTATTGAGAAGATCTTCTCTATGTTGCTCTTGAATGGTGGTCTGTGAGGTCAGTGTGGACTAGAAACATGAGGGGCCCATCTAGGAAGGGCACTCTGAAAGGCTAAGATCATTGTTCCAACTCATGGATCTTTCTGATCGCTAGGTAGCCCAGGTAATACTGTGAACTGGAACTCTGTGGTGATAGCTCAGTGGTTAAGATCACTTGCTGTACTTGCGAGAGACCACAGTTCTATTTCCATACCAGGCTGCTTACTACCAACCACCTGTTTCTCAAACTCCAGGGTATCTGATGCCTCCGGCCTCCACAGGTACCTGCACACATGTGAACAACACTTCCCTCCCAACACACACACACAACTAAAACCAAATCTCTCAATATGAGCTCTGGAGCCAGTAGCCTCACTGGCCATCATTACTGGCTGCGGTGGTTTGAATAAGAATGGCCCCAGTAGACTCATATATTTGAATGCTTTCTCACCAGGGGGCAGCACTATTTGAGAAAGGTTAGAAGGATTAGGAGGTGTGGCCTTATTGGACTAGGTATGGCTATCATTTATTGCTAGGCGTTTATATATTTTTTCTTAAATCCCTCCCCCAACACACATGCACACACACATACACACACATTAATTTTGTGAATGTATACGTATGCATGTGTTTTTATGTTTGGGGGTGCCATCTGTGTACAGGTGCAGATGGAGCCCAGAGGAAAACCTCATGTGTCATCCTTAGGAATACTGCCACTTATTTGAGATAGAGTCTGACATTGGTCTGGAATTCACCAAGTAGGCTAGGCTAGCTGGCCAGTGAATCCCAGAGATCACCTTGTCTTCATTTTCCCAGTGCTGGGATTACAGCCATGCACCACTATGCCTGGCATTTCGCTGTGGGATCTGGGGTTAAACTCAGATCCTCAGGTTTGTGAGGCATACAGAATACCAGCCAAGTCAGCCCCCAACCCCACCCCAATGCTTTTCTGAGTGGTGTTGTGATTTGGGTATAAAGTTTTCCACCAACAGGCTCATAAATCTCAGCACTGGGTTCCCGGGTGATGATGCTGTCAGGGAGGTTGTACGACCGTGGTAGTGAGAGAAGTGACTAATGGGTGTGTATCATTGGGGGACAGAACCTTTGACGACTGTGGCCCTGCCCTACTTTAGATCCGGTCTTTCTCTCTGTGTCCTTCTGCTGCCCAGATTTGAGGAATCCTGCCCTGTAGTTTCACTGCTGGGAGCTTCACCATGGCTTCCCTGCTAGAATGGTCTACAAACCCCAGCCAAAAATAAATTGCTTCCCTTAAGTTTCTATTCTAGCTATTCTGTCACAGCAAGAGGAAGAATAACTAGCACAAGTGGTTTCCTGTTCTAACAACCCTATGGCCAGGCTGCCACAGCCCTCTTCTTTCCTTGTATCCTGTGGCTGCCCTATAGGTCAGCACATAGCCTGGAGACCCTCAGGAAGACTAATACACACCCAGCTCTTAGTGAAGTACTTCTGGGCAGTGCCCAGTAAGTATAACTGCATCATTTCAAAGCCTTTCATTCTAAGAAGAAAGCTTGATGAAAATAATGCCCTCGCTCATAAAAAATTAATGAAATATATCGCTTTTCGCACATATGTCTGGGCTTTTCCACAACAAAAGCTATAGCGTTAATATGGCATAGCAAGGGCAAATATTAACATGATGCAGTATTTTATGTTTCTAAAGAAGGGGAGTACTTCACATTCTCACCAGCAGGGGCCAGAAGCAGCCATCTATATCAGCATTTCAACCAACAATGAACTTGATCAATTTGATAATTGTTTTCCAGTAGATAGTTGGGGAAAATGGTGATGTTCATATGCTTTTCTTTGTCTACATATTTTTATGTTAATTGTTTATACACACAGGAAAACTAATAGCTCTTAGTGAAGTACCCAATAAGTGTTAATATATATAATTTTAAAGCCGTTCATTCTAAGAAGAAAGCTTGATGAAAAATAATTAATGCCTTCACTCATAAAAAATTTAATAAAATACATAACATTTTTTGGGAGCATTTTCTTCTGGCTTATTTTCACCATGGATATTTGTGAATATCAGGTCTGTTTTCCTGATTTACTTTAACTTTCAGTTCTGTCATCTTCACACCAGGCATCCCATCTTGTGCTTCATTTTTATAGCTGTGATCAGCAGCTTTTGAAGGTCTTTGCTCCGCAGAAGGATCTAAGT